GAGCTAATAGTGTTAGCTCCAGAGCTAATAGGCTAACATTAGCTCTGAGCTAATAGTGTTAGCTCCAGAGCTAATAGGCCTATATATAACGTTAGTTCTGGAGCTAACACTATTAGCTTCAGGGCTAATAGGCCTATATTTAACGTTAGCTCTGGAGCTAATAGTGTTAGCTCCAGAGCTAATAGGCTAACATTAGCTCCAGAGCTAATAAATATAAAATTAGTGCCAGACCTAATAACGTTAGCTCTGGAGCTAATAAATATATGGCGTTAGCTCCAGACCTATAGCATAGATGATCACGTTTGATCATTTTGACTCATTTATTGATCACAAAAACTAATACACAATATATCTTTACTGTCACATTATAACTTTCTAGCCTTTACTCTTTGTGTTTTATTCTCCGCTACAAACGATGTATGTCATTGCCCTAGATTGTATTGCGCCGGTAAAATAACGACATCCTTAGGTGAAAAATGTAATAAACGTATAATTTTTAAGCAATTAGGAGTTTTCACGCGTCACAAACAGCTTTTAGTAGAATAGAGAACAACATTAAGACAGATATGTGTAAGTGAGATCCCTTTAAGACTTTACAGTCTGTTCAGCCAGGCTGCCACGCCCACTCTCACCTGCTCCAGGTCTGTCTTCAGCCCAGGTGTCTCCAATCGTTTATCAACCCCTGTCCATATATTCTGTCAGTATTCATTTCATCCCCAGCAGAACATTCATGGTTCCTATGCCACAGTCTGGACTCACACCTTGGGATTACTTCATGTCTCCTCCAGATTTGTGTTTTGTTTCATAAAAAAATCTGTTTGTTTTTTCAAGAGACTAAATATCGGTTTTAAACTTTCTTCAGTTTGTTCTGAGTCGACACAAACAAACGTTTTCTGTCTGAATGAGGTCGGAGGTCAAAGTGTTCCTCTGAAAATGCTCAGGAACGAGGACTGAAACTGAGAGAACTCTGAAAGAGCTTCAGAAAGTCTGGAGAACTCCAAGTGATGGGGCAGTCTGGATTAGGGTCAACAGAACCTCACCTGTGGTCGAGCTCAGTCCAGAAACATTTTTCTGCACTCCGTAAACTGCAAACAGACACAAACATACACTTAAAAATGTTTTTATAAGCAGATTGTTGTGGAGGAAACTGCCAGAACATTAGAACCATCTGGTTTGCTGGTGGGTCACCTATCTGTGTGCCGGCTCCGGTGGAGGTGAGGACCGTCGGATTGGTCAGGTTGTTCTGCACACCGTACACCGGAGCTGCTGAGGAGAAACAGGGTGAGGACAATGATGATGAAGGTGTGAAACCCCTGAAGGCTCTGAGTCTCACCGGAGCTGCTGGCAGAAAGACCAGCGTTCACAGAGGCAGAACCAAGAGTCCGGTTGTTCTGAACTCCTGCAGGGGACAAAACAACTCTTTTCTGTCTCTTGTCGGTCACAGATGATGGAAAACAAAACGTTCAAAGATCAGAATCTGCTCTTTTCTGCTAAAGCATGTTTAAAAGATCCACAGCTCATCTGTACGTTTCTGACTGATTGTTAAAATATTAAATAACATTTTTATAATAAAACCTCTAAATCTGAGTCAGCTATTTTATTGTGTGTCAGCACTCTTGTTTTGTTTTTCTGTAGGTTTTGAACCTAACTACATATTAGCTTAATATTTCCTATTATAAATTATTCAATTCATTCAGGAAATAGGTGGTAGGAATTTGGGGTTTGTAACTTTTATACTTTTCAGAATATTTACTTAAATATATTTATTTAATTTATCATTTATTGATATTAATAAAAATAGTATTTAGTTATTATACAGTTATTTAACTTCCCTCTGGGATTTGAATGAAAAACAATCACAAATTAAAGACAATGAGCTCTCTTAAAATCCTTCAAAAACAAACAGCTCTGAAATTATATTAGTAAACTACTGTTAATGCTACGACTAATAATGCTACTGTGAGGTTTCTACTGGTATTGCTAATGCTAATCCTGCTAATGTTACTACTGTAATGCTAAGACTGCTAATGCTACTACTGTAACACTACTACCATTACGTTTCTACTGGTAATGATACTAATTCTACAACTGCTAATACATCTGTTAATGCTGTTAACACTATGAATGCTAATGCTACAACTGTTAATGCTAATGCTACTAATGTTAATGCTATGAATGCTAATGTCACTACAGCTAATTCTATGACTGATAATGCTACGACTTTTAATGCTAATGCTACTAATGTTAATGCTACGAATGCTAATGTCACTACAGCTAATTCTATGACTGATAATGCTACAACTGTTAATGCTAATGCTACTAATGTTAATGCTATGAATGCTAATGTCACTACAGCTAATTCTATGACTGATAATGCTACGACTGTTAATGCTAATGCTACTACTGTAACACTACTACCATTAAGTTTATACTGGTAATGGTACTATTGGTATTGCTAATGCTACAACTGCTAATGCATCTGTTAATGCTGTTAACGCTATGAATGCTAATGCCACTACTGCTAATGCTACTTCTGTTAATTCTACTACTGTTAAGTTTCTACTGGTAAAGATAGTACTGGTATTGTTTATGCTACTACTGTTAATGCTACAGCTCTTTATGCTAATGCTACTACCATTAATGTTTTCTTTGGAAAAGGTTGCGCTACTGCTTTTATGTTACTACGGTTAATGCTAATGCTACAACTGCTAATACATCTGTTAATGCTGTTAACGCTATGAATGCTAATGCCACTACCACTAATTCTATGACTGCTAATGCTACTACTGCTAATGCTACTTCTTTTAATTCTACTACTGTTAAGTTTCTACTGGTAAAGGTAGTACTGGTATTGTTTATGCTACTACTGTTAATGCTACAGCTCTTGATGCTAATGCTACTACCATTAATGTTTTCTTTGGAAATGGTTGCTCTACTACTGTTATGTTACTACTACTACTACTAATTTGAGCTGCATGCTTTATTACTTTTGGTTTTTACCTCATTTTACTTTTTGAATATACTGTATGTGTTGGTTAACATTTTAATAACATTTTGTTGCTTTTGGTTTTTAGGTGGCATTTTGTTTCTTTAAGATAACATTCCATTACTTTTAGCTTTTTGCTACATGTAGCTGTCAGCTCACTTTCTGCTCCTTCATCAAATTTCAGCAAAGTCATTCAGAACTCAGTTGTTTTGCATTTTAGCAGGAAAAGCATTTTCTCTAGTTGTTGTCAATTTTCTTATAAACTTTTTTTAATATATATATCTCCATTTCAGCGTCGGTGGTTCCAGATGGTCTTAGTCCTGACCTGACTGGTAAAGGGCGGAGGTGGTGGAGTAGTTGTTGGGGTTTGTGTTGTACCCGTATCCACTGCTCACGTCTGCAGACCAAACGCTGCCGTACTGATCTGAAACACAAAGATGGTTGACCAATTGAGTAAAGATTCTCAGATGAACCTTGTGATCTTGATCGACAGCCGGCTGGGTGAACCTGTGGGGCTCTCAGGTGTGGTCCTGGTTTCCACGCTGGCCTTCCTGGGGATGGGCAGCGTGTTGTTGGGGGACTGAGTGGGACTGATGCTGGTGGAGGGGTTCCCCCTCAGCAGGCGCTTCACGTCATCCAGCTCCGTCCCTGAAAAAATATCCCAGCAATAAAACTAACTAGGCAGGATTTTTGCGTCTCTAGTTTTGTTTTATTTTAATTTCACATGAATGATTTGAGTCCATGAAGGACTCACATCTGGCTGGAGGTGAAGCACTCTGAAGCCTGGCTCTGATCTCGCTCTCTGAAAACAAACAAAACTAAATAAATATCTCCGTTACTTTGATTACATTAATTTAATAAAATAAAAAGAACAGAAATAAAGTGTAAATGTAGGGACTTTTTGCTATAGCATCTGTGTACCTGGAACAGGAACTCGTAGGTTTGAGCACATTTCACCAGTTTTGTCCTCCCTTCACTGGCTCCCTGTGCATGTCAGAATTTATTTTAAAATTCTCCTGCTGACCTTTAAGTGCCTAAATGGCCTTGCCCCCTCATATCTCTCTGACCTTCTTCAACCATATGTTCCTTCTCGATTGCTGAGATCATCTGATCAGCTGCTTTTGGTTGTAGCAAAAACCAGGCTGGAGCTCAGAGGTGATCGGACTTTTTCAGTCATGGGCCCCAAACTTTGGAACAATTTGCCCCCCAACATTAGACAGACCACTTCACTCCCTGCTTTTAAATCTCTTCTAAAAACACAACTGTACTCACTGATGTTTAACACACTGATTTGATTTAGTATTTCATTGTTTCTCATTGTGTGTTTTTATTTTTTATGCTTTTATTTTTTATATCTTTTTAGTGCCTTGATCTTATTGTTAAGCACGTTGGTAACAGCTGCTGTTTTAAATATGCTTTATAAATAAATTTGACTTGACTACCTCTGCTTTGAGTTCGCCCTCTGGTGGCAGAACTTGAAGTTGCACTTGAAGTAACTGCAAAAGTAATAAATAAATAAAATTAAACACACTTTTAGTCAACATGCCTTCTCAGTTTGACTCAAAACTCTCGGGCAAACTGACCGTACTCCTTCCGGTTGTACTCTGGAGACGAGTTTGTGCTTGAGCTTTCTGAAACATGTAAATAAAACTCACATAAAACTTTTATTTCGTGCAAACCGTGAAAAACTTTAACCTCCGACCTGTGACTGACCATCGAAGACCTCAGCCAGAGCCGCTGCCATGGTGGTCACACTCTTCCTCTCCTTTGTAGAAGGTGAATAAGGAGAAGACGATGATGAACTCCTCTTCGTCTCCCCGGATCCTCCTGAAGTCGAGCTGGTCTTGGTCACCGTGGAGATGGTCACAGCACCGAGACCTGCGTCTCTTTTTCCTTCTTTAGCACTGCTAACAAAACTGTGGGACATGCTAGAGGATCCCCTTCCAGCCCCTTTGGACCCCCTTCCTGCCCTCGAGGCCCCTGACGCTACAAATCCCCCGCTTGCGGACAAAGACCCAGAGGTGACACTGACGCTCCCGGACCCCTCACCCACTCCGGATCCACTCTGATGGGACCTGCTGGAAGTGATCAAGACTGAGCTCCCCGCACCCCCTCCTGTAGCCCTGCCACTGGACCCACCTGCGTTTAGAGAAAAATCACCTGCAAGAGGAAAACACAAAAATTTACCACCAAAATTCATGCTCACTAATCCAGGTTTAAAAATCCAACAAACTTCAGTCAGGTATTCAGGATTTTTTTGTTTTTGTTTTTGTTAAGATGTTTAATCCTTCATCCAAAGGACTTCATCAGTCCGAGGAACCACAATAAACTCAGTCCCACAAGCAACACACACACTTAGTGGACCAACCAGTTTGCTGTTGATAAGATGATGGACCTGATTGAACTTTGTTGGATTTTTTTACTTGGATTATTGCGCATGAACTTTGATGTTTTGAACAGCTTTGGCTATGGCTGCCTCAGAGGAGTTGACGGGGGAGAGAGCTAACGCTACTACTGTAACACTAAGACCCAGAAACCATCTTGTTGGTCCACTATGTGAGTGTGCTGCTTGTGGGACTCAGTTTGTTGCGGCTCCTCAGACTGATGAAGTCCTTTGGATGAAGGACGAAACGTCTCAACAATAAAATAAACCATCCAGATGATCTGACTGAACTTTGTTGGACAAGAATTTACCGTTTCATTTGGTCAAGCTGGAACTTCCCAGAGTTTATTTTTGTGTAAAAGTCAAATTTTATTAAAACAACTCGTCTAAACCTCAACCTGAGGGTGAACTCCTCTAAACCTGCGCTCAGATGAAAGACCCGACGGGCACGGTTAATGTTTGACCGATAAACTGAGCGCTCATTTCAGGGATTCTTGTAATCAGGGAACATTCTTGAATTTCATGTCTGGACGTGCGTTTTTTACGCTTCATCCCTTCATTTTTATCAGAGCAATTCATGACACATTCATGGTTTCTGCTCCCGGCACTGCCCAAAGTAACGACTTCTTTTCTAAAAGAAAAATGAAAATCTGTCAACCTGATGCCCGCAGGCAGTAAAAAATATTTAGGCTGCATTTGACCTTAATGTTTCACCATGAACCATCGTCTTAACGTCTTCAATCATGTTTTCCATCAGACATATTAAACGTGTGCTGAAAGGCACAGTTGTTCTTCCTTGTTGAACTTTTAACATCTGTTACCTCTTCAGACCGCAGTTTAGATTTTTAACTCTTTAAAAATATTATTCTGACAATAAACTCTGCTCCAAACTGTACGAGTCACTGTAAAGTCAGTTTAGTGGAGGAATTAGTTCTCAAATCACTGAAATGACTCACAAATGACTGGCTTGTTACACAAAGGTTAGTGCTCGTTAGCTGCTACACGTGTCAACCTAACAACTTTATTGTGGTGTTAAATATTACACACATTTGTCAACATGTTGTGTTTGCAAAGCTAGAAGTTGCACATCAGTAATGAGGTCGTTCAATTTATAAATGTGACTTTAGATTAAATCCTGACAGAAAAAAAGTCAAAATAAATTTGTTTTTGAAAGTATTCACAGTGCTTCACTTGGTCCACATTTTGTTTCGTTTCAGCCTTATTCTAAATTGTATTCAATTAATCTCTTTCCTCAAAATTCCACACACCCCACCATGACAATGTGAAAAATGTATATTTTGAGATTTTATTAAGAATAGAAAACCATGACATCACATTTACGTTAAGTATTCACAGCCTTTGCTTAATACTTTGTTGATCCACCTTTGGCAGTACCGTATTTTCTGGCGTATAAGTCGCAGTTTGTTTGCATAGATTTGTCACCCCTGTGACTTATATGTCAAAGCAACTTATATACGTTTTGTTTTCCATATTCATAACGCAATTTTTGACTGGCGCTTTAAATTTCGAAGAAGTGCAACAGCGAGTTCTCCCGTGCGCGCTCGCTTCACTCAGCTGGTGCAGGCGGAGGAACACTGGAGAGCTAGCGGCTCCGGCTGCGATGGATGTATGTATGTATGCATAGATGGATGGATGGATGGATGGATGGATGGATGGATGGATGGATGGATGGATGGATGGATGGATGGATGGATGGATGGATGGATGGTGCCGCCGCCGCCGCCGCCCAGGCGAAATGAAGCTGTTTTGACCATTAAATAAATGCACAATAAACGCAACGGGTGACGCATAATAAATGCAACTTATACGCCGAAGCGACTTATATACAGTATGTGTTTTCCTCTTCTTGATGCTTTTTTTGACTGATGCGACTTATACTCCGGAAAACACGGTAATTACAGCCTCCAGTCTTTTTGAATTTGATGCTTCAAGCTGAGCACACCTCTCTTTTGGCAGTTTGTCCCATTCTTCTTTGCAGAACTTCTCCAGCTCCGTCAGGTTGGATGGAGACATCTGCGCAGCCATTTTCAGATACCTCCAGAGATGTTCAATCAGATTCAGGTCTGGACTCTGGCTTGGCCCCTCCAGGACATTAAGAGTGGTCCTGAAGCCACTCCTTTGAGATCTTGGCCACGTGCCTTTGGGTCGTTGTCCTGCTGAACAATGAACCGTCGCCCCAGTCCGAGGTCAAGAACGCTCTGGAGACGTTTTCATCCAGGATGTCTCTGTACATTACTGCATTCATCTTTCCCTCTACCCTGACTAGCCTTCCAGTTCTTGCTGCTGAAAACATCCCCATAGCACGATGCTGCCACCACCATGCTTCACTGTAGGGATGGTATTGGACATGGTATTTGCCAAACTCCAGATAAGCTGCCATGTGCCTTTTATTGCTAAGTGGCTTTCATCTGACCACTACCATGCACGCCTGATTGGTGGATTGCTGCAGAGATAGTTGTCCTTCTGGAAGGTTCTCCTCTCTCTACAGAGGAACACTGGAGCTCTGACAGAGTGACTATCTGGTTCTTGGTCACCTCCCTGACTAAGGGCCTTCTCCCCCAATCACTCAGTTTAGACGTCCGGCCAGGTCTAGGAAGAGTCCTGGTGGTTCCAAACTTCTTCCATTAACGAATGATGGAGGCCACTTTGCTCATTGGGACCTTCAAAGCACCAGAAATGTTTCTGTATCCTTCCCCAGATTTGGACCTCAACACAATCCTGTCTTGGAGGTTTACAGACAATTCCTTTGACTTCATGCTTGGTGTTTGTGCTCTGACATGCACTGTCAACTGTGGGGCCTTATATAGACAGGTGTGCTTTTCCAAATCAAACTCAATCAGATGAATTTACCACAGGTGGACTCCATTTAACTTGAAGAAACATCTCCAGGATGATCAGTGGAAACGGTATCTGAGCTCAATTTGAGCTTCATGACAAAGGCTATGAATACGTATCATTTCTTAGTTTTCTATTTTAATAAAAATCTCTAAAAATCTTTTTTCACATTGTCATAGTGGTGTACAATTGAAATTGAGGAAAGTGATTAATTTAATACAATTTGGATTAAGGCTGGAACATAACGAAATGTGGACAAAGTGAAGCGCTGTGAATACTTTTAGGATTTACAGTAACTCGTTCAATAAATACCAAATCATTTGTTTTTTCTAAAGGTAACTTTATTGTATTTCTTTGAACTAATACAATCATCTTTATTTTAGTAAGCGGCAAATAAATATCTAAATGTTTTTGGTCCAGTTCTGTCCTTCAGAACGGGTTTAAACTCCAACTCAACCTGTTTGATTTGGTTAAATAAAAATATAATTCAGGAGCTAAAGCAGCTTTAACACATAAAAACTCATGTCGCTCCGCTCCTCCACAATGTTTAAACGCTTCACACACGACTAAAAGAAATGAGAAAACGCTGAATCTCATAAATGTTCTTTGAAATATGCTGTTTTCATCATTATAGGTTTGTTTATTGAACTTAAATTGGCATTATTATGGTAACACTATAAAACTAGACAAATTGCAAAGAAATGGAAGAAAAAGCCTGAGTTACCAGATTAAAGCAGAAAGAACTTATATTTGCTGAATTATGCTTAAATTAGCACAAAAATTTGGAAATCAATCAAAAAAATTGCTGAAAAGTAGCTGAAAATGCAGAAAGAAGCTTAAAGTGGAAGGAGCTGAATGAGATAAAAATGTGGAATTAGTTTGAAAAGCTAAAATTAGCACTAAAACAGCTAAAAAGTAGTTGAAATAGCAGAAAAAGCTGAAAGCAGCACAACAAGCTGAAATTACCAGAAATAAGTTAATTAGACTGAAAGTAGCAGAAATTACCACGAAAAGCTTGAATTTATCTGAAAACAGCTGAAAATAGCTAAAAAAAATGCTATTAAAAATAGCGTAAAAGGTAGAACAAGCTTAAATTAGCAGAAGGCAGTAGAAAGAACATGTTTGCTTAAAGAAGCAGAAATGAGCACAAAAAAATTGGAAATTATCTGAAAAAAAATGAAATTAGTAAAAAAAATTAAAAAAATCTGAAAAGTAGCTAAATTTTCAGAAAGAAGCTTAAATTACCAGAAGGAAGTGGAGAGGAAAGATTTTTTTTTTTTGCTGAATTAGGCTGAAAAAAGTTTAAATAAGTGCAAAAAATGTTGAATTAGCTGAAAAATCTTAAATTAGCATAAAAACAGCTAAATAGTAGCTGAAATAGCAGAAAAGGATGAAACTTGTATACATACACTGGTAGGATCAGGAAAAAAGTTAGAAGAAGCACAAAATGTTGTAGTTAGCAGAAAGAATCTAAAAGGAGCACAAAACAGCTGAATGTAGCTGAAATTAGCTGAATTTTTTTTGAATTTGCAGAAGGAAGCTGAAAGAAGCTGAACCAGAACAAAACGTGAAAGGAGCAGTAAAAGGTTATAAACACATCTAAAGAGTTGAAGGATGTAAAATGAGCTCAGTTCATTTTCTATGAGGAAAAAAATGTCAGAAAAGGCTAAATATTTCAAAAAGCTAAAGTTGCACCAAAACAAAAAGTCATAGCAGGATTGTCCTGAAAGAGCCGAACGCTTTGATGTGTGATTTGTTGAAATGGCAAAAGAATTGTGGAACGATAAAGATGCTGAAAAGCGCAGTGAAGAAAAATGTCTCACAATCGTGTGAATGCTTCATAAACATTCACACAATAAAACATTTAGATGAAAATAATCTAACACTAAAAAAGGATTAGAGTCTTTTAATCCAGCTGCTGTGACAAAGAGTTCATTCATGTTCGAGGAGTAAAAACAAAATAAAATCTTACTTTGTGTCGCAAGTCGAGAAGTTACGGACTTTATGACCACTGGAATAAGAAAATCCCCCATTAAAGGTCAGAAGATAAACTCGGGGAATATTTATCTTTTATATGAAACATCAAGTCTGGAATATTAATCTGGGATTGGTGGATTAAATCCTGGTTTGTCTACCTGAGCTGCATCCTGCGGCTGCTCCGTCAGAACTGAGCGTCTTCACTGCTGTCGGCTTGTCCATCCAGGAGCTAAAACCAGGAAGAACAAACAAAAACGAAACAATAAATTAAATCAGATTAAAGAACCGGATTAAAAAAATAAAACTTTTCTCTACATCATGAGTCAGAAGCTGCAGCGTCACATTTCTGTCCTTCCAGGTTGTTCTCCTTTCGCCCCGACCTGCCTCTGATTTAAAGGATCCACCTGAAGCTCCTGGTTCAGGTGAAGAACCTCCTGCCGCCCCCAGGCCTCAGTTTTCAAACCGAGGCCTGGGGGCGGCAGGAGGGACCACGCAGCTCCGTTCAAACAAGAACAAACGGATCATTTTACAACATCTCAGCAGGTCTAAGGTTTCCCTCGAGTCCCAGGTAAAATAATAAACTTTAACCCCGCTGCTGCCCTCGGGTCAAAGTGAGGCTCAGTGAGGCATTTTGAGCCGAGGGCAGCTGGATTAGTGTTAGAAGTAATGATAGGGATTAGTCCAACAGAATAAATCAGATCTCACAGTTAGATGAGCATTTTGATTTATGTAAACTCGTTTCTCCCGCTGTGAAAGACGGGCGATCATGTAAATGCTTCGGTGCATTTGTGCGAATTTGCTTGTCTGTTAGCAAAATATCTCCTGAACCACAGGATGAAATTCAATGAAACTTTCAGAAAGTCATCGATGGATTGGCATCTCCGACTGATCAACACAAAAATGAGTCTAGCTCCGTGATTGTTACGATTCTGAGCTAAAGTTTGAAGCGGTAGTAGCTGAGAGTCATCCTCAGCGCATCCTCTGAGGGCTGGCAGATCTCGCTAGAGCTTTGTCGAAAAGTCTGGCGGGCGATATGCATTCCTTCAAGGAGTTCTCCAGCTTGAAGTTAACAGATTAAATCGTGTTGTTTTCCACATGTGAAGCTTGTGTTTTTATACCGTTTCAGTAAATACATGTAAATATTTGAAAATAATCTCAGTATTGAAGCATTCAGAATAAATTGATTAAAACTCATATTTTATTTAAGATTGTTTCTGTACTTTCAGGAAACACTAGTGAGAAATGACATCAGCTGTAATAAATTCATACTTTTATTTGTGTTTTACAGTAAATTCATCTGTGCAGAAGCACAAAGTAAACGTGAATCACTTTGTTTCATTTAGTTTCCAGGTCAACTTCATTTTGATTCTTGCAGTATATAAATACACTTTATTGTATTTAACGTTTTACAGTTTCACAGTTTTATTTGAACTTTTTGTTTGTCTTTTTGTCAAACTCAGAGTTTTGAGTGTTTATTGATCATTACCAGCTGACAAACACTTTTTAACAACTAATTTATTTCCCTAACTTTGTATTTTATTGACTAACTCTTAATTACTGCCAGAATCTGTCTTTCGTCTGTTACTCTGATTAAATATGAGTTTACAGATCAGTGGTCTCCCTGCTCATCAAATGATCCCACCTGCTGGTCATCTAATAATGATTAATAAAGCAGATAGTTGTATTAATGACTAATAAAACAGAGAGTTGTATTAATGATTAATAAAGCAGATAGTTGTATTAATGACTAATAAAACAGAGAGTTGTATTAATGATTAATAAAGAAGAGAGTTGTGTTAATGACTAATAAAGCAGAGACTTGTATTGTGATTAATAAAGCAGAGACTTGTATCATGATTAATAAAGCAGAGAGTTGTATTAATGACTAATAAAGCAGAAAGATGTATTAATGATTAATAAAGCAAAGAGTTATATTAATGATTAATAAAGCAGAGACTTGTATTAATGATTAATAAAGCAGAGACTTGTATTATGATTAATAAAGCAGAGACTTGTATTAATGATTAATAAAGCAGAGACTTGTATTGTGATTAATAAAGCAGAGACTTGTATTAATGATTAATAAAGCAGAGACTTGTATTATGATTAATAAAGCAGAGACTTGTATTATGATTAATAAAGCAGAGCGTATTTTACCTTTCAGATCATCTCTAGAGACACTCGGCTCCTCTGAGCTGCAGGAACACCTGGAGTTACCTGCACAAGTTGTTTAAGTTGTTAATCAGTCTGACTCACAGCTTCTGTGGACAAGTTCCAACAGGGAGTGTGTGTGTGTGTGTGTGTGTGTGTGTGTGTGTGTGTGTGTGTGTGTGTGTGTGTGTGTGTGTGTGTGTGTGTGTGTGTGCGTGCGTGCGTGTGCGTGCGTGTGCGTGCGTGTGTGTGTGTGTGTGTGGGAGGAGACAAGCAGGCGGTGCAGAAGAAACAGGGAAATAGTGGAGGTGAATGTGTTTTTGTGTTTGAGGTTTTTGAAGATTTAAACGGATGATTTACTTCCTGAAACGTGACTTTAAAAGATCAAATCAGCAGCTGGAGTTTGTGTTTACGTAGCATCATGTTTACGTGATGTGTTTAATGTGATATCATGTTTACATGACATTGTGTTTACATGACATGTTTACGTGGTGTCATGTTTACATGACATAATGTTTACGTGACATCATGTTTATATTACATGTTTAATCAGCATCGTGTTTACTTGACAATATCATGTTTACATGACAGCATGCTTACGTGACATCATGTTTACGTGGCATCATGTTTACGTGGCATCATGTTTACATGACATGTTTACTCTGCATCATGTTTATGCGAAAATATCGTTTACATGATATCATGTTTATGTGACTTGTTTATGTAGTATAATGTTTATATTATATCATATTTATGTGACATCATGCTTACATGACTTTATGTTTACATGACATCATGATTACGTGACATGTTTATGTAACATCAAGTTTATAGGACATCATGTTTACATGACATCATATAAATGACATCAAGTTTACATGATATATTCATCCATCCATCCATCCATCCATCCATCCATTTTCTTTCGCTTATCCGGGGTCGGGTCGCAGGGGTAGCAGCCTAAGTAGGGAGGCCCAGACTTCCCTCTCCCCAGCCACTTGGGCCAGCTCTTCTGGGGGAATCCCGAGGCGTTCCCAGGCCAGCCGAGAAACATAGTCCCTCCAGCGTGTCCTGGGTCTTCCTCTGGGCTTCCTTCCGGTGGGACGTGTCCGGAACACTTCACCAGGGAGGCGTCCAGAAGGCATCCTAAACAGATGCCCAAGCCACCTCAACTGGCTCCTCTCGACGTGGAGAAGCAGCGGCTCTACTCTGAGTCTCTCCCAGATGATCGAGCTTCTCACCCTATCTCTAAGGGAGAGCCCAGACACCCTGTGGAGAAAACTCATTTCAGCCGCTTGTATCCGAGATCTCATTCTTTCGGTCACAACCCAAAGCTCGTGACCATAGATGAGGGTAGGAACGTAGATCGATCGGTAAACTGAGAGCTTCGCCTTTTGACTCAGCTCTCTCTTCAACACGACAGACCTGTACAGAGCCTGCTTCACTGCTGACGCTGCACCTATCCGCCTATCAATGTCCCGCTCCATTTTTCCCTCATTTGTGAACAAGACCCCAAGATACTCCTCCACTTGGTATAGGACCTCCTCCCTGACCCGGGGATGGCACTCTACCCTTTTCCGGCTCAAGACCATGGCCTCGGATTTGGAGGAACTGATCTTCATCCTGGCTGCATCGCATTCGGCTGCGAACCGCTCCAGCGAAAGCTGTAGATCATGATCTGATGAAGCCAATAAGACCACATCATCTGCAAAAAGCAGAGACACAATCCTAAGGCCACCAAAACAGATCCCCTCAACACCTTGGCTGCGCCTAGAAATTCTGTCCATAAAAGTTATGAACAGAATCGGTGACAAAGGGCAACCTTGGCGGAGTCCAACTCTCACCGGGAACAAGCCCGACTTACTGCCGGCGATGCGGACCAGGCTCTGACACCGGTCATACAGGGACCTAACAGCCCGTATCAAAGGGCCCGGTACCCCATACTCCCAGAGTACCCCCCCACACTGTTCCCCGAGGGACGCGGTCGAATGCCTTTTCCAAGTCCACAAAGCACATGTAGACCGGTTGGGCAAACTCCCACTCACCCTCTAGGACCCTGCTGAGAGTGTAGAGCTGGTCCAGTGTTCCACGGCCAGGAAAAAAACCACACTGCTCCTCCTGAATCCGAGGTTCGACTATCCGATGGACCCTCCTCTCCAGAACCCCCGAGTAGACCTTACCAGGAAGGCTTAAGAGCGTGATTCCCCTGTAGTTGGAACACACTCTACGGTCCCCCTTTTTGAATAGGGGGACCACCACCCCGGTCTGCCAATCCAGGGGAACTTCCCCCGATGTCCACGCAGTATTGCAGAGTCACGTAAGCCAACACAACCCTACAACATCCAGAGCCTTAAGGAACTCCGGGCGAATCTCATCCACCCCTGGGGCCCTGCCACCGAGGAGCTTTTTAACCACCCCGGTGACCTCAGCACCAGAGATTGGAGGGACCGACCCAGAGTCCCCAGGCTCCGCTTCCTCAGTGGAAGACGTGCCGGTGGGATTGAGGAGGTCTTCAAAGTATTCCGCCCACTGACCCACAACATCCCGAGCTGAGGTCAGCACCACACCACTCCCACTATAAACAGTGTTGGTGGCGTACCGCTTTCCCCCCCTGAGACGCCGGATGGTGGACCAGAATCGCCTCGAAGCCGTGCGGAAGTCATTCTCCATGGCCTCTCTGAACTCCTCCCATGCCCGAGTTTTTGCCTCAGTGACCACCCGAGCCGCATGTCGCTTGGACTGCCGGTACCCATCAGCTGCTTCCGGGGTCCCACAGGCCAAAAAGGCCCGATAGGACTTCTTCTTCTTCTTCAGCCTGACAGCATCCCTCACCGATGGTGTCCACCATCGGGTTCGAAGGTTGCCGCCGCGACAGGCACCGACAACCTTGCAGCCGCAGCTCCGGCAAGCCGCCTCGACAATAGAGGCACGAAACATGGTCCACTCGGACTCAATGTCCCCCACCTCCCTCGGAACATGTTCGAAGTTCTCCCGGAGGTGGGAGTTAAAACTCCGTCTCACAGGAGACTCTGCCAGACATTCCCAGCAAACCCTCACAATACGTTAGGGTCTGCCAGGTCTGACCGGCATCCTCCCCTACCATCGGAACCAACTCACCACCAGGTAGTGATCAGTGGACAGCTCCGCCCCTCTCTTCACCCGAGTGTCCAAGACATGTGGCCGCAGATCAGATGAGACGATGACAAAGTCGATCATCGAACTGCGGCCTAGGGTGTCCTGGTGCCAAGAGCACATATGGACACCCTTATGCCTGAAAAAGGTGTTCGTTATTGACAATCCATGCCGAGCACAGAAGTCCAACAACAGAACACCACTCTGGTTCAGATCAGGGGGGCCGTTCCTCCCAACCACACCCCTCCAGGTCTCACTGTCATTGCCCACATGAGCATTGAAGTCCCCCAGCAGAACAAGGGAGTCCCCAGGAGGTGCACTTTCCAGTACCCCCTCCAAGGACTCCAGAAAGGGTGGATAATCTGAAGTGCCGTTTGGTGCATAAGCACAAACGACAGTCAGAACCCGTACCCCCCACACGTAGGCGGAGGGAGGCCACCCTCTCATTTACCGGGATGAACCCCAACACACAGGCACCAAGTTGGGGGGCAATAAGTATGCCCACTCCTGCTCGGCGCCTCTCACCAGGGGCAAATCCAGAGTGGAAGAGTATCCAGCCCCTCTCAAGGAAACTGGTTCCAGAGCCAGAGCCATGCGTAGAGGTGAGTCCGACTATTTCTTGCCGGAACCTCTCAGCCTCACACACCAGCTCAGGCTCCTTCCCCACCAGTGAGGTGACATTCCACGTCCCAATAGCCAGCTTCTGTAGCCGAGGATCAGACCGTCAGGGTCCCCGCCCTCGGCCACCACCCATCCCACATTGCACCCAACCCCTTTGGTCACTCCCACAGGTGGTGAGCCCATGGGAAGGGGGACCCACGTCTCCTCTTCGGGCTGTGCCCGGCCGAGCTCCTTGGGTAAAAGCCCGGCCACCAGGCGCTCGCCCGCGTGCCCCACCTCCAGGTCTGGCTCCAGAGTGGGGCCCCGGTGACCCACGTCTGGGCAAAGGAACATTAGGTCAGTTAAGTTTTCTCATCATGATATATTCATATGTCTAAATAAAGGTTGAATATCATGTTTGCATGACAGTATCATGTTTACATGATTTATGTAATAATTTTGATTGATTTGATTGATTGATTCATGATTTATTATATAAAGCTGGTTGGTCTACATTCCTACACTCACCTGTGGTCCTGAACTCTGTGTAGTGACCGAAAGAACAAGATCCTGGATCCAGGAGGTCTAAACGAGTTTTCTCTGCAGGGTAGCTGGACTCTCCTTAGAGATGGGGTCAAGTCACGTCATATTTATTTATATAGCACATTTAAAACAGGAACTGTTTATCAGAAACAATGAAATAATAAATCAGATCACACTGTGTTAAATGCTAGTGAGGCGTGTTTTAAGGAGAGATTTAAAAGCGGAGACTGAGGTGACCTGTCGAATGTTGATGGGCAGATTGTTCCAGAGTTTAGGGCCCATGACTGAAAACGTTTGATCTCCTCTGAGCTTCAACCTGATTTTTGGCACAACCCAAAGCAGCTGGTCTGATGATCTCAAAGCCCGAGAAGGAGCATAAGGATGAAGTATCTCTGAGAGGTACGAGGGTGCAAGGCCATTATTGCACTTCAATGTCAGCAGGAGAATTTTTAAATATATTCTGACCAGGGAGCCAGTGAAGGGAGGACAAAACCGGTGAAATTTGCTCAAACCTATGAGTTCCTACGAGCCGGGCTGCAGCATGAGAAGCTCAATTCTCCAGAAGAGACTCAGAATTGAACTACTGCTCCTCCCCAGAGGAGACAGGTGTGGAGGTTCAGACATCTGGACCCTGCACCGTTCTGGACATGTCCAACTAGGAGGAGACCCCAGGGAGGACCCAGGACACACTGGAGAGACTATGACACCTTGGTGTCTTACCAGAGGAGCTGGAAGGGGTGGCTGTGGAGGGAGAGGTCTGGACCTCCCTGATCTGATGCTGCCCCGAAACCAGAACCCAGAACCAGATGATGGACAGTTGGATGGAAACAAACAAACAAATCTGTAAAACATTAAAAGCCAATCAGCATATTTTGTCGATTAGAAATAATCTGAAACTCTAATTTTTTTTATTTTAGACTTAATCTGTTTCTGGAACTTGTTTTTAATCAAATTTGAATGTAACGACACATTTATGACTAAATAATACTTTAACAGAAATTTAAAACATGTTTGTTTTGTTATTTACTGGTTCTTTTAATCTGAAAATTCTCCACTTTCTGTTTTTGAAACGCTCCAAAAATCCTGCTCTAATAATCTGATCCTGACAAGATTTTAATCTTTATGGTTGAATTTTCTGCATTTTTAGAGAATTCTGACTGAACCTCCCAGCAGCTGCTGTCGGGTCTGGTTCTGGCACGTTTGGACCTTCAGCCACATTTTTTACTGATGAAAAACACGTTTTGACTTCATTTAAACTCAATCAAATGTGGAAAATATGACGATTTTAGCAACATATTTACCTGCTGTATGAGTCACCTGCAGCTGCAGGGGTCCAACAGAACCTCTGACTGAAGACAGGACATTCTGTTTATAATCCTGTGAGCCGGGGACCAGAACCATGAAGTTGATCATTCTGGTTAACTTCCATCCATCCATTATCTTTTAAATGATTCTTCCTCTTTTTGGGTCTCGGGGCTGGTTAGACTTAAATAGTTTTTATTCAGATAAACTATTCAGTCTGTGAGGGTTAAGGTCCTTAACCCTAAGTGAAAGAATGTATTTCAATAAATAAAGTTATTTTCAAAGCGTTCGGATTGAATGTCTGAAGTCCGAAGATGTTCAGAAGTTCTTCAGTTTGACCACAAATCTATATTAAAAAAAAAGAAGTTCATAAAAAAACAAAACCGTTTTACAGATTTCTCCTCTTTGAATCAGAGCATCAAGAGCCTGCTAGAGGAGTCTGGACCTGTCTGTGCTGGACCACTGTGATCCCACATCAGATCGAACGGTTCTGGTCTTGATTCGTTGTCATGGTTCCAGTCTCAGATCATGGTTCTGGTCTCAGATCATGGTTCTGGTCTCAGATCATGGTTCTGGTCTCAGATCATGGTTCCAGTCTCAGACCATGGTTCTGGTCTCAGATCATGGTTCTGGTCTCAGATCATGGTTCTGGTCTTCTTTCAGGGTTATTTTCTGCACAAAGTGGAAATTGAAACCAATTTAAATGAAGTCATGAAGAGCACTGGACACAAGGTAGGATCTATTACAATATAATAATATATTATAATCTAGCTGTTTTGTTACTCTTTTTGCCATCTTATTTGTAAAAATAATAATAATAATCTGTATGCCTTTTTATAACTGTCTATTGTTCTCACTCTTGTCCAGTGTTTTTCATCATTCTTTGTTGAAATCAGGTCTCTCTTGTAAGTGAGTCCTCGAGGCTCAATGGGATTAACTTGTCTAAATAAAGCTTGAATGAATACTAACAGAACCATGACCCACAGGGTTCCATGGTACATGACCCTGGAGCAGTGTTGCCAGGTAAGAAAAGTAGGATTATCGTTCTAGAGACATAAAATTATCGTACACCCGTCATAATCAGAATAACAAATCTATTCATGCACTATAGTAGTGATGGGTCTGCTTTCATGCCGGCTCTGCTTCTTCTTCTTCTCTTTTTCTCTGTTCCTCACTCATGGGGCGGACGCTGCAGACTATTCAGCCAATCATGGCTGGAATTTCCAGCCGATCGTGCATCTGTTTGCGGACACAGATGCCTTCAGGGTTCACAAAAAAACTCCAGCAGACAGGTGCAAGAGGCTGATGACAACTGATTACAACCACACATTCACAGAATGGTCAAATTATCGTATATTTGGCCTTTTTTGGGATTATTGATCGTACAGAGGGCAAAATTGTCGCACAAATACGATAATTATCGTACACCTGGCAACACTACCCAGGAGTCTGTTCAGGCATAGATATCATATAATTAATTTATATCTATGTGTTCAGGTGCCAGTTTGACCTTTGACCTCATCATGTGACACCCTTCAGCGTCAAAGAGGATTGGCTTCTTAAAAAAAACCAAACTCTCAGACATTTTCTGATAAACAGACGTTTTAATCGTATAAATCTTCGTTTTTACTTTTTGAACTTTAGTTTTGTGCTAAAACAGTTGGTCTTTAATTCAAATATCCTTCATATTTGTTGCGTTTTGTTTCCTTAAGGTGAAACGCTGAAATTTTGTAAATAAATAAAAATACCGGAAGTGAAGACTTTTCACATCCGGGTAAAGTGTCATGGCGGCGCGCTGATCTGTCTATTTCCAAAGACATCGAAACTGCGTGTTTTCTGACGCGTTGAGGTAAATTGTAAGTGAGCCGATCTGTCGGAACCGGGATGAAGATTGAAGATGCCATGCAGTGGAAAACCAGAGGCTCTATAGTGTACGCCGTGGGCATCTGGACCATGATCGGAACTTACGGATATTTGAAATACACAGGTCGTTTAGATAACGTTAAAGGTGAGGACGCTTGTTTGAACATCAGAAAATAAAAAGCTCATCTTTTAAATTATTGTTTTATTGGAGTCATCTGCGTGTTTAAAATGTCGTTTAAAAGCATTAAATATGGCGGGAAAGCCTGCAGGAGCCGAGAGTTGGAGCCGTTCAGAACTCGCCTGAGAATCTGTCTGATTTAACAAGTTCTCAGTTTCTCAAGATTCCTCAGATATTATCTTCTTTATCGATAGATCAAAATAAAAATCAAATATAAACAGGGAAAACGGTCGACTCCAAAGCGTTTTACTTTGTTCAAATTCATTTATGTGACTTTAATTTGACAAACGACAATTAATAATAATTTGAATGACAAATAAAGAAACTTGAATCCTTTGAATTTACATCCAGAGCAACTGTGAGAGAAAATCTACAACAGTAACTAATAATTCATACTCAGTGAAGTTGCATTAAGAGAAGAAACAACCTGAGAGCAATTGTTTGACATATAAATTAACTCTTCTTTTATCTCCTGATTTCATTTTATTGAAAGCAAAATCAAATGAACTAAAGAAATTAACATTTTGTGCAATGATCAAGGCCACAGTCAGAAAGTTTTCAAAGGAACTGAAGTCTTGATGTGTTTCTGTAAGGAAAGATTTGTAAATATAGTTAAATATTCAAAAAATGAAGGGAGGTAGTGAAGTGAAGGGAATGAAGTGAGGGAACACTGCAGGTAATGATGTCCTGAGAGCGCACGCTGTAGCTGCACTCACACAGTGACATGTAGGAGGAGATGTATGAAGGCAGCAGACCAAGAAGTGATTTAAAGATGAAAATGTACCAGTGAGAGAGTCTGCGTGAAGTTAATGATGTCCAGTTAACCAGTGAATACTGGGTGCAGTGGTGGGTACGATAATCACAGCCAGTTATGAATCTTAGTGCACCATGATAGACAGCATCCAACATCTGCAGGGTTCTTGTAGGAGCGTTCATGTAAATAATGTCACCGTAATCAATGGAGGGAAGGAAAGTCACAGTTACAAGGCGTTTTCTAACATTCAGGGTTAGACAGGATCTGTTTCTGAAAAAGAAACCCAGTTTAACTTTCAGTTTCTTTACTGGGTTTTCCACGTGGAGCTTAAAAGAGAGATGCGAGTCGACCAAGATACCCAAATATTTATAGGAATCAACAAACTCAATGGGGACACCATTTGAGGATAAAATCTGAGGAAGAACTGCTGGGACCAACTTCCTATTTGAAAAAAGCATCCCTTTGGTTTTGTCAACATTTTGGACAAGTTTGAGGTGGAACAAATCTGTCTGGATGTTGTTGAATGCTGGGAAGCCTTTTTAACTGTTTTAGCTCGACAATAAACAACTGTGTCATCAGCATAGAAATGGATGGATGCATCAGGGATGTTTTTACCTACATTACGTACTGTATGTAGATTGTAAAGAGGGTGCGTCCTAAGACTGAGCCTTGTGGAACACCATTGTTGACTGTTAAATAACTGGAGGAAGTACCATTATGTTGAACACATTGCCTCCGGTCTGAGAGATGGTTGGAGAACCAACTCATACGTTTATAACCTGTAAAACAACACTCACTCAGATTTCCCTCTGTCGTTATAACAAACACCAACAATTAAATATTTTTTGTCTCCTCTGAAATGGACCAGTGGAGGTGGAGGAGGTGGAGAACACGAACAAGAAGGTCTTCCAGAGTAAATATGGGAAAACTGAGATCATCAGGAAGGAGAACTTCGTCCCGTACTCCACCAGGATCTTCAGATTCATCACGTCTTTCACTGGTCAAACCAACGCCCCCCAGGACTATGTATCCTCCTCAAACGATGACGGAGACGCCTCAAACACTCATGTTGATTAAATAATTCCTGCGTCTTTACTCGTTTGGCGTCTTCGGCTCTTTTAATGGCCGAATCTCCAGCGCACGTTTGGATCAGAAGCGTTTCTCGTCTGGAATGTTCGGTTCTGTTTGTGTTCCACTGACTAAAAATAAACCTAAATATGTAAATATTATTTTCTGATCAGTTCATGTCTGAAATAAGAACCAAACATTTGTTTCGACTGAAAGTTTTACCTCATCGTTTTAGAGCACCTCTTTGAAACGTCTCGTTGGTGTAGATTCCCGGTTGTTTTTAAACTTTTTGGATAATGTTCTTGCGTTTGGTTGGCGGTGTACAATTATGTCCTC